ATCACTTGTGCATTATCAATTGTCACAATGAAGAACTGGATATTCTGGATATGGAGAAGATTGGTAATGAATTTGTAAAAAAGACAACTTTTCTAAGCAATACTTTTGCTATAAAAACTGTTAGTTCATAATTTAATAAAAATTACCATATTTTCAATTATTCTGTAGGAACGTCTTTTTTTAAGTTCCACAAAATCTCAATTTGTTATCACATATTTTTTAATAAATATATGTGTACCTTACCAAGTACCTTTTTCATCTATTTTAAACTTGTATCAAAAGTCAAATCAATTTTGTTTATTAATTTTTGCATTTCAATAAGATAATAGACTCTGATATTCTTGTTGAAGTTATGGGTCATCCATAAATAATATCAGTAAATTAAGATGGATGAGTTAAGGAAGAAAGGGGGGTAGTGAGCGAAGAATATTTTTGTCTAGCAGCATTTCCGTTCGCCCCCTTGCTCAATGAATGAATGTGTATAATTTTTTTTTGCAAATACTAATAAGTTTTTTATCTTTTATAAAAAATATATCAAATAATATGCGTGTAATTACATTTGATTTGTCTTGATTTAAATTTGTTAAAAGTATTGCTTTAAATTTTTGTTTAGTCTTTTATAGTAATATTATCCCACATTTGTACAAAAAAAATTGATACATGGCGGTATATAAATTATAATGAGTGCAAAATTTCAAATGCGATGGTAGCTACAATAGCAATTTATTATACAGAAAATTTTCAAATATTTTTAAGGTGCAAGTTACCGCTTTGTATAAAAATGTTAAAAAATTTAATCCAAAAACACACGGAAAATCTAAAGTTTTTACAAATATGTAAAATTTAGCAATTTTAAAGCGTTTATTGTTACATCAATCATCTTATCTTGTCTCTGGTTATGTTTATAAAATTGACCGCCTATGGTCAACAAGAACTGAAAGTGAACCATCTAATGTTTAAAATAATTGAAGTCAGGGCGGCTTGATTTTCTTTCTTTTCTGACTGGTTTGTGATGGTTTTTTGTCAAATTGCACGAGCTAACGTGCTTGTAGTTATAATCTAGGCATTCTTTTTATTGAAAAGGTACTTAAATTAACTAAAGAACCTTGTTGTGAAAAAAATGTTATCTTGTTCTATAACTGCTTATCTTCCAATTTATTGTAAACTCTTGATGTTGTATTTTATAGACCTCTTAAAAAATATTGGAGGAAAGGTAGCAACATTACCTTCAGAGTTTCGCTTAAACTCGTAGCATATCTTAGTTTCAAATTCTGAGATATTTATTCAGAATTGTAAAAAAAGCGCTATTTTACAATAGTTTTTCGTTTTAATTATTTTTAAGATTGAAACATATTGTAGTTAATAAAGGATTACTCTGTTATATTAGGCTTTTTTTGTAATTATAGATAATCGTTTACTACTAAATTTTTTTAAAAATAAATTTAGTAACAATATTGCAAACCTCCGTTGCATTATTTTATGTAATTGTTATACGTAATTTTATGTAATTTATGAATTATAGTTTATTAATTTATAAATTTAATAAACTGCAGACATTTTAACTTTTTTTAATATTTGATGAGATTCATTGAATAGCGTGAAGGTGCGGTGCGGATAAATATTTCATCGAAACAATAGAATTTCTAATAGTAGGTTGATATGCCTACAAATTTCTTCTCTAACGTTATCAAAACCCTACCCTATTATATAAATAAAAAAAAGCATATTAAACATATATTTAGAATTACAAATTAAAGAAATAGATTTTATGGTTGTGAATAGAAAGTGCAATGCTAATCAAGAATTAAATCAAATCGCTAACCAATTAATTTACGAAAATCTAATAAAATGTTGGTGATTCCGTTACAAGAACTTAGTGATATTATTGTATATTAGTAGTTTTTTAGTATTTTAGTATTGGAACTTTTTAAACCATTTGATCAAAGTTGCTTGAATTCAAATTATAAAAAACAGCAATTAATTAATATGTTGAGTCTTGTAAGCAAAGTAGGGTTTATCTATGACAACGTTTAATCGTTTTACAATCAACGATATCATTTAAAACGCTCTTAAAAAAAGAAAACTAATATCAGGTTGGATACCCCACACGTTAACCAATCATTATCGCAAGAATAAAGATAAGGAATGTAAGGAAAGTTTAGCTCTTTTCAGAAACGGTCCATCGAGTTTATGTGATATTATTAGAGAGGACAAGTTGAGGCAAGTTGAACACAAGTCGGCTAACGCTAATTGGGTCGGTAAAGGCGAAAAAACCTGTTCCAAATCTTCTTTAAAATAACAGGTGTTGTCCATTTGTTCACCTTAAACAATAAGACACCATTACCAGTTAATATTATATAAGAAATTGTTTGAAACCTCTTACATGCAATAGGTTATATAAATATATCACCTAATAATCCCAGTCGTCAATTAGATTCTAAAAAAGATATGTTCATATTCTTAAAACTTTTATTGCTTCTCACAAGCAACTCAGTTAACGTTTTTTAAAAATTTATTGGATTTAGGGGGAGCATAAGACCCTTGAACGCTTACCAGACCCCTAATATTATAAAAATTTTTTTTTTTAAAGATATCATGTTGGATATCAAAAGAAGCGAAATTATATAAAAATTTGAAAAATAACAACCATTTTTTAAAAAAATTATTATTTAAAGATTTGTTTGGAATTTATTATAAAAAAATTACACCTTTCATTTTTAGTTACAAAAGTTCTTTTTTCTGCAATAAATTTTAATATCCAAAAAATGCTGGATTCGCCCCTGGATCGGTAAAAAATTACAACTATTGATTCTAATATTGGCATTATCAGTGTTTTTAGATAAATAATTTTTACTCTTTCAGAATGCATTCTGAAAATACCATTTACTTCGAGTTTAGTAATTTTTGATTATTATTCATTAATGGTAATCAAAAATATCTAAACTCCAAACAAATTGTACTTTTTTAAACTTACGGATCAGCAGTTTTAACTAAGTTTAAAAACCAGTGTTTCTCTTTTTTTTTTAAACTATATAATAACTCCTTCACTTTCAGCTATACTGATATGGACACATCATTTAGACTGAAAATAAACAATCTTCTCCAACTGTGTTATTAAAATATTACATAATAATTATTGTAAGTGTTATTTGTGAGTAATCCTTAATTTTTTGTCACCTATATAAAATTTGTTTTAATCAAAACTAATGGCTTTTGAAATTATTGCTGGATGTAAACAAAGAATTTAAAATACTGTAGCTATATTTTCAAATTATAAAAACTCTCAATTAATAAGAGGAAGAATTGTAAAGAAACAAACAAAAATAAATTATCAAAAGAGATGAAAAACACTTACTCAACAAAACAAAAAAATACAAAACCAATCAAAGTGTTATACATTTTATAAAGGTTATATACCAAAATAAAAACTTAAAAATACAGACTAATAATGGAACTTATTAGAATTACTAAAATGGAAAAAGTAATTAGTAGTTTTTAAGTTACGTTTGTTGTTACAGCCATATTTTTATTTTGAATGGATTTGATAATGTTTTCTTATGTATATATATATATATATATATATATATATATATATATATATATATATATATATATATATATATATATATATATATATATATACATATATATATATATATATATATATATATATATATATATATATATATATATATATATATATACATATACATATATATATATATATATATATATATATATATATATATATATATATATATATATATATATATATATATATATCCTTATGGTAATATATAGAGTTTATATATATTTCATGGTTATATATAGAGTATATTTATATATATATATATATATATATATATATATATATATATATATATATATATATATATATATATATATATATATATATATATCCTTATGGTAATATATAGAGTTTATATATATTTCATGGTTATATATAGAGTATATTTATATATATATATATATATATATATATATATATATATATATATATATATATATATATATATATATATATATATATATATATATATATATATATATATATAACTGCGTTTATATTGTTGTTACAGCCAAACTTTTATTTCGAATGGATTCGATGGAACAAATATTTTCTTATGTAAATATATATAACAGTCTATTTTATTTTGGCTGTTGTATATTTCCATGATATGAGGCAATTAACAGCCATATAGTTTTGGCTATTATATGGGAATTATAAAAGTTTTTTTTGTTTGTTATTATGGGACCAATAAGGAACAACTATTTTATTTTTTGACTAGTTTTTATTTATAACTATGAAAAAATTCGATTAATATTAAAATTTTTTTTTTTAATATTAATCAAATTTTTGTCAAATTAAAATTTTAGGAATTTAAATTAAATAAGTATTAACTAAAAACAATAGATGTAATAAATAAAGAAATGATAATAAAATAAAAAAAATAAAAAGATATGTTATAACAATAAAAAAAATGACAATAAATACAGAAATAACAATAAATACAGAAATAATAATAAATAAAGAAATAATAACAAATAAAGAAATAATAACAAATAAAGAAATAATAATAAATAAAGAAATAATAATAAATAAAGAAGTAATAATAAATAAAGAAGTAATAATAAATAAAGAAATAATAATAAATAAAGAAATAATAATAAATAAAATAATTATAAATAAAAATGTAATAAAAATATATTACTAATTAAATAAATAATATTTAATAAAAATCTTACAAATCTTAAATTAAAAAAAAAATTGTTGAGAAAAAAAAATTTCATCTAAATATATATTTTATAATTAACAAAAGATGTAAGCATTGCCAAAAAAGGCTTAAAACAATATAAATAGATGATATTGATACTTAAGTCTTTTTTGAAATATACCATAAAGAACATATATAAATCATCAAACATATACTTGTGTAACTGTTTTTTTGTGTATAATATTTAGTTTTCTTTTTTTTAAGATCCATTGAATCCAGATTTGTTTTCAAATTATTTGGGTGCATATTCAACATCGGCATCACCATCGGTAATATCAAGAATGTCAGAGATAACATCGTTAAAAGTCTCGCCTGCTACTTCAAGTATGAAATTAACTACAATAATAATTCCAATCAGTTTCAGTACATACAATACAACATTTCAAACGATCACTGCTTCATCATACGATGAAACCCTTCAAACTACTAAAATTTCTAGTCTATATAATAATAAATTTGAAACCATCAATGTATCATCATATAAGATTACATTTCAAACCATTAATGCATCATCATATAACACTACATATGGAACCATTAATTCATCATCATATAACACTACATTTGAAACCATTGATGCATCATCATATAACACGACATTTCAAACCATTTATTTATCATCATATAATACTACATCATCATATAACACTATATTTAAAACCATCAGTGCATCTTTATACAATAATTCTACATTTCTACCCGTTAATGTTTTTAGTTCATTTAATAATACATTTCAAACCATTAATGCATCTTCAACCGTTTTTACAATAGAAAATAGCATAGCGAGTTCAATCCAAAATATAAATCAATCTAAAAGTGTTAGTTCAATCAATATTGCAAGTCCAGTTAGAGTTTCAACTCCTTCGAATTTTGTTTCAAGTCCAGTTATAATCTTAACTCCTTCTAATTTTGTCCAGTTATATTTTACTGATTCTATTTTAACACCATTAGTACAAACTGCTATGCTAACCTACTCACAAGTAACAAAAGAATCAACAATTGAATTAAAAATTACAAATCAGTATAATGCAACATTAGTAACTGTTTCAACAAGTATCTATGTAGAAAATACTACGATACTTCCACCACAAAGTGACGCATTAACGACTAAGACTTTTGCAGCTCAAGTCATTATTGGCGTCTCTGCAGTCCTACTCCTACTGGTATTTTTATTCGCGTGCTTCCTCGCATACAAAAGGTATTATCTATAGTTAAACTTATTTTACACATTGATACTTTAAATATCATGCAAAAATATTTATTTTTATTGAATTTCTTCAAAAACATTTTTTATTTATTAAGAGTACAACTAAAATAAAAAATATGATAACATAGTAGGGAAGACTGGGTATAATCGGCAATAAGAGTAAGTTGACAAATTGCATTTAACATCAGAAACACCCATCAAAAAGTGCTTATGAAAAAATAGAATCTTTTAGAAAAGTTTTTTCAAAAAACATGTATGTAAGTATGTATGTATGTATATATGTATGTATGTATGTATGTATGTATGTATGTATGTATGTATGTATGTATGTATGTATGTATGTATGTATGTATGTATGTATGTATGTATGTATGTATGTATGTATGTATGTATGTATGTATGTATGTATGTATGTATGTATGTATGTATGTATGTATGTATGTATGTATGTATGTATGTATGTATGTATGTATGTATGTATGTATGTATGTATGTATGTATGTATGTATGTATGTATGTATGTATGTATGTATGTATGTATGTATGTATGTATGTATGTATGTATGTATGTATGTATGTATGTATGTATGTATGTATGTATGTATGTATGTATGTATGTATGTATGTATGTATGTATGTATGTATGTATGTATGTATGTATGTATGTATGTATGTATGTATGTATGTATGTATGTATGTATGTATGTATGTATGTATGTATGTATGTATGTATGTATGTATGTATGTATGTATGTATATATGTATGTATGTATGTATTTAGTTGAATACATTTATGTATGTATTTAGTTGAATACATTTATATTTTAGGAAAAGAAGAAAATCACAATTTAAAATTCCAAAAACGGTACTTTTTATTTTAAAACTACTTGTATGTTTTTAAAAGTTTAAAAATTTTTAAAAGTAATTTTTTTTTTGCATCATCAAAATTATTAGTAATAACTTATTATTATTATTTTCGATTAATTATAACTTTATATTAATTATAACTTTATTTTAATTATAATTGATTATTATTTATAACTACTAGTAAATATCAAAGGTAACATTTATTATTATTATTAGTTTGATACAGGACTAGCAAGCCTCACAGATGTTTCTTTAAACAACCATGCTGCAATGATCCGAATGGAAAATAACTCTCTAAGTACGTCAGCATCAATGATGAACAACGCTCATCTAAAATCGAATCCTATTTACCTTGACTATTTCGAACAAGAGTCGTTAAATGGGCTAGAAGATATACCAATAGACGAGCAGATAACAAGCAAGTCGCTAGATGAGTCTTTCATTTTTGAGAAAAATTATTCTTACAAAAAAGATACTAAAGTTAATAACAGACGTTTAAGTGTAATATTTTCTGTTTCACAAAGTTTAGAGTCAACTGTACCAAAAGATGATGAACAAAGCAGTCATAATGATTTTCCATTTTCGTTTTCAATAGAACATGGTTCGACTCCAATTGTTAACAAAATTTAGATATAAAATTTTTATATGAAAACACGTTTCTTCTATTGTAAAGGTAGACCACAATAAGTACGTTACAATACGATATTGTACGTACGTACGTACGATAGCAATAAGTTACGTTCAAAGCGCAATTCTCATCAGTTGGATATGCTACGTTAAATACATATGTTGTTACCAGAATGATGCAGTTTCAGTAAACTCTAAAATAATTTTTATAAATAAATTACATTATTTGATACAAAAATACAGTTTGTGAAACGTAATTTGTTACGCTTAGAGATAAAAATGTTGTAATAAACAAATTTACAGAAGAAACGCTTTAGGAGTCCTTGTTTAAAATTTTTATTATTCAAAACATTTTTTTTATAACAATGAGTTTTTTAATACCAATTATTTTTTAATTACAATGGTAACTAAAACTTTCAAAGATACATCGCCAACAAACGAAAATTCAAGATTTTATGAATTATTTTAGTGAATATTTCTAAATATTTTCCGCTTAGTAATATTTAATTGAAAATTTTGATTTTTGTCAATGTATTTTGATTAAAATATCAAAAATGTTTAAAAATAAAATCACAAAAAATTGAAAACTTTTGCGTAAGTCTCTAAAAATTATTTTAAAATTGACCTCTTATGTTAATCCCAGCAGTCCAAAAAATTTCATTTTATGCAAAAATACATTGTGCATAAAATGAAATGGGGTAGAATCATTTACAAAGTAAACAATAAAAGTTATTTTTGTAGCTCGGTATATTTAAAACTAAATTATGTATTGTTTTGTTTTGCAAAAAAATATAATTGTCAATTGTCAGTTCAACCAAATTAAGTTTACGTTATATATATTTGGGAAGTTAAAGAAAAAAAAAGTTTGTTTAATTTGTTTATGTACTTTAAAAGTATAACATTTTTATACTTGCATATATGAAAGTCTAGATTTTCTATCTGCTTTTTAAATTAATTTTAACGGTTTTATAAATTGACCGGTAATATTGTTCCTTTCTGAAAATTTCAATGAAGTTTTGACCAAGTTTATTTGCACGTTCTGCACATTTCCTAATGAAGACAGGTCACAGTTTTAAAATATTGTAATAGTTTTCTGTATCTTTGTCAAAACTTTAAATAAATTTTCTATACACCTACAGTAAGCTTGAAACGTTATAGATTAGAAAGTCCATGCTCCGAGTGAATTCGTGACGCAGGTTTTTTTATTGACTAGCAATTGGCAATAGGTTTTTTAGCTACATGGTACTTTTTTAAACAGTGACATTATGTCTGCCGAAAAAGGCGTATTTAGGACTACACCTTGATTTAGCGATTTCTAAAAAATGATAGAGAATAGGGCAGTCGCCTCATTGGCATTTGCTTTAAGTACAAATGGGCTGATATGGCTAACTCCAGTTGATATTTTGATTTAAGAGCAGATAAGCGTTTGTGAACGGATACTTTGTTAAAGTTAACCAAGGAGATTGAATCGATTGTACGTTCAATGAAGAAGTTAAACAGGTTAAACTGACGGTTCGACCCTGAAAAATTATTGAAACTGATTTTTCAGAATATATGCAATGTATGATCAGTCGCTACTTTTTTCCACATGGAATGAGCACATAGAAGTTATTTGGTTGCTGACGGCGCGTTTGTTGTTATTATAGACGTAGAGATGCTTGCGGCTCTGTTTATCGTTAACTATTTAAATACTGCAAGTGAAATGCAAATAAATTTTTACACAATGTTAGCTGGCAAGGCCGAGACTGCGAAATTTTTTTTTGAATTTTTATATTTTTGTGTTGTTTATCATTACTTTACTTTTTTTTATTAAGGAATATATTATCAATAGAAAATCAATAAATTTTTGAAATAAAGGTTTAAAATACCAAATATTCACTTATACAATAGTAATACTATAACTAGTGGTTCTTAACAAAACATTTAATTATATCATTTTTGTTTAGTACTAAATGTAAATGATACTATTATAACTATAGTTATAATGATATCATTTATGTTTTATTTTCTTTGCTTAATTATAACTATTAGCAGGTTATTATCATAATAATAAGGGTAAAAACAACAACGACACTAATAATTTATATAATCATTGAATAAGTTAATGGTGTCGTTGTTATGACATAACACACATGTGTGTGTGTGTGTGTACGTGCGTGTGTTCATTTATAGGTGTTATAATTTATATTTGCAATTATATAATATACTATATAATTGTAATAATATGCTATATTATTATACCAACTTGTTGTTTATAGTAATTATAATTATAATTATAATTACTATAAACAACAAGTTGGTATAATAATATAGCATATAAACTATGGTTTACGTTTGCATTCTTAGAACTTGACAGAGAGAAAGTTTACATAAAATGTTTCTATGTAAACTAAATTGACTAATTGTATCTTTTAAATTGTGCTTTCTTTTTAAATTATGAATGTATTTTATTTATCAATTAAAATATGCCTTGTGAATGTGACCAAATCTGAAATAGACATTTAAAAAAAAAATATGCAAAGATGGAAAAACAGCACTTGTTTGCACATTCTGCAATGCAAAGTTTTTCACACAAAACTCCACTCGGGCTAAAAAACATTTAGTTACAGATTGTCCTAAATCACCTGTTTGTAAAAACAAAATTTGCAGCTGATGTTGTAAAACAGAGTTTTGCGTCTAAAACTATTAGTGGAATAATACTTGTAAAACCTTTATCTGAACTTGAGACAAATACAAGTAATATTGAAAGTGTGTCAGGTTTAATAAGCAATTCGTGTGACAACAACCTAGACACCAATTCCAAAATAAGTGTGGTTGCTAATGATTTACAATCTGATCTTTAAGAGTGTTCTTTTTCAAAACCTTCAGAAAAGGCTGTCAGTTCAACCTCTATTTTACCTCTCAATCAAAAACCTCTATATCATATTTTACCTCTCAATCAAAAACCTCTATATTACATTTTACCTCTCAATCAAAAACCTCTATATCATATTTTTTTGATAAAATGTCAGCACAAGAGTGCGATGAAATAAATATACAATATGGAAAAGCAATTTACGCAACAGCCAGCCCTTTCAACATGACAGAAAAAACATTTTGGATTAACTTCTTTAAAAAGATTCAAGCAAGTTGGTCACCTCCCAAACGTTATGCTCTTAGTCATGATTTTTTAGACAAAATATATGACCAAGTAAATGAATTCAAACAAGAACTAAGTAAATGAATTCAAACAAGAACTAATATCCAAGGCAGAAACATTTGTCCTCTTGATAGATGCTTGGTCTTGTATAAATAATGATTCACACATACAGATTATGTTAGCTACTCCAACTCCAATATACGTAAAAAGTATTCATCCAAAAGAAAACTCCCACACCGGACAATACCTATTTGATTAAATGGTTGAGACTATTGAAGATCAAAATGTTATATCAAAAAAGAGAAAAATAAAAGCTTTTTGCACTGATAATGCATCAGCCATTGTGGCTATTTAGAAATTAATTGAAAATAAATATGATTGTATGTCAACATATGGCTGTTTTTCTCACTGTCTAAATTTATTAGGTTGTGACCTAGTAAAGAAGAACAACTTAATTTTTGAAACACTAAAGCTAAAAAAAACAAATAGTTAAGTTTTTTAAAAATAAACAAGTTTCAAAGAGTATCCTTGAGCGCTGTGGTCTACATTCTCTGAAAAAAAAATTGACTTTCATTCTTTCTGTAGTAACAAGATGGTCATCTCAGTTTTCAATGTTACAGCGCAATTTGCGTCTTTGTAACTCATAGCGATTGGCAGTAACTGATGAGAAAGCACAAAAACATATTGAAAAATACAATAAAAAAAACGAATTAACCATAAAGAGTTAGTTTAAGAGTTGGAAAAGTACAGATTTAGCTTACAAACTACTAAAACCTGTATAAGAGGCTATTTGGAATCAGAGTTCGATACAGCATCAGTGTCTATTGTAGCACAAATCGTTTCATATGTCACAGTTGAGATATCTGATGTGTTGCAAAAATCAACACTACTGACTTTACAAGAAAAAGAGAGTATTACTAGTTGCTTTAAAAAGTGTGAAGACTTAGTCATTAGACCAATACACTTTGCAGCTAATTTGCTTGATCCCAGACTTCCTGGATCTCAGACTTCCTGGTAAAGAAATAAGTCATTCAGAGCTTTTAGCTGAGCAGCATTCAGAGTAGCTGAAAATAAAACACTAGTTGCTGATGTTATATTGGATGAATTATTGAATTTTAAATTTCGTAGTGGAATATTTAGCAAGGATAGTCGCAGCTATACTTGGAAGTTTAGTGTGGAGTGTAACCCAGTTATATGGCGGAAAGCATATGCACTTACAACATTATTGAGCAGAGTGGCGTTGATATTATTAACTTGCAGCTGTAGTATTGCATCTGCTGAGCGTGCAAACATAGTTTTGTTTGCAAAAAAAGCGAAATCGTTTAACTGATACAAGAGCATCAAAGCTATTATTTAATGCTTATAATTTGAAAATACAGAATAAACTAGTTAAATGTAATTCTAAAAAGAAAAAAACATTTATCTTAAGAAAAAAAAAGGAGATTGCAATATAAGCCATATCTTCAATGATACAGCTCTTAATGAAAATGATGATGACAGTAAATATTTAAGTGATGGTAGTTTTGATTTTCAAATACTCTCAAAAATGGCTAAGCATTAACATTTTCAAAGACCTATTATTTTATTATTGTATAATATCTGTAGCACAGTTAAAAAAAAATGATTATTTGATAAACCATTCATCTAATATATTGCAAGAAAATTATTTTATAGTTATTTAAAATAAAAAAAATAGAAATCATCTCAAAACTTTGCTTGTGCTTTACCGTTCTTATATATTTTTGTAGGAAATATAATAAAATAGTCTAATTATAATAAGACTTACAATTAAAATTATTTGCAATTTTTTTTGTTATCGAAGAGTAAAGTTGTATATTCTTTTTTTATTTTTTTTTAATTTCTGGAAATACTGAGCAATGTTTCTT